CGTAGGTGGGTATACCCGGGCTGAGACTGGCCTTGTAAGGGCGGCATCACAGGGAATGGAACCGGCAGAGAATGAGCAAAGAGAGCTGAATAAAAGCAGAAGAGAGAGAAAGAAAAAGATAAAGAGTAGCAGAAGAGAACGAGACCATGAGAACGCCAGAGAGCCCAGGAGCGTGAAGATTTGCTGGGGGCTGCCAGCCTTCTGGTCCCCTGGCATTCCTGCCTGCTGTGTACCTGGTAAAAGATCAATAAAAGCCTGAAGAAGCCACTGAGGGCTCCAGGACTCTCCTTTACCATCTACTCGGATCATAGAGATCCTGCTCTGTGCCCTTCCTGGCACTACATCATGGATGGACACTTAGGGCCTTTTCCATGTCTTGCTGCTGTGAACATGAGAGTGGTTGTAGGGTAAGGTAAAAGGTATCAGGCTTTTCTGCCCTCCCGCCATCAGGATAGATGAGGGAACCCTGTGATCCTGAATGCATGCCTGATGGCGGGCACCTGAAGAGGGTACACCTGCACTAAGACTGTGTTTTTAAGGGTGGCGTCACAGGGATTTCAGTAGAAACCGCGAAAGAAGCAACAGAAGCTGAGAAAGAAGCAGCAGAAGCCGAGAGAGAAGCCGAGAGAGAAGCGAGAGAAGCAGAAGCCCAGAGAAGGCCGAGAGAGCAGAGTGAAGACTTGCTGGGGGCTGGGAGGCCTGCCAGCCTACCAGTCCCCCAGCACCCCGCCTGCCGTGTACCTGGTAATCCCAATAAAAACCTGCAAAACCACTGAGGACTCTGACTCCTCCTTTACCCGGTCTGCATGGGATCAGAAAACCTGCACTGTGGCCATTCCTGCCTTTACAATTGGCGTAAGTCGGCAAGATGATCCATGCAGACGGGTATGGAGCCCTCCGAAGACCTGGAGGGACAAAGGAGTAAAAGACTGCCTGTGACGATGCTGGAGGCGTCATGGCGACCCAGGAGATGGACAAGGTCCAGGATCTACAGGACAAGACCACACCTGGAGAAGGAGATGCCCGAGAGGACCAGCCAACGACCCCTGAGGCAGCAAGAATTGTCGGGAAGACAGGGCCACGATTCGGAGCTCGCTGGTGCTGATAGCAGGGAGAGGCCTAATGGACTTGGACTAATGGAGTTGGACTGACAATCCTGCCAGAAGGCGGAGGACCTTGCAGGTTGATATGTTTTGGGACCCTGGGGGTGGAACAGTTTTGTTTGTAAACCCCAGGAGATGGGAATCTTGGTTGGCCAGTGGGCCTTGATGGCCAAAAGCAGCCTGTGTATGCCCAGCAGCCAGGCAGAGGAGAAAAGCCAACTGAGAAGGCAAAAACTGGTGCTGATGATAAGTTGAGAAGCCCTGAGCGGCTAAGCAGCCTGAGTATGCTGAAGACCTGTGAGTCTCGTAAAATCACCTGTGGGTGATGCCCTGCTCTTTGTCGAGTGAGGGTGAGGAGCTGAGGAACCCATCCTTGGGGGACGGGTGGGGAACGTGGCTTGGGGTGGAGCCCAAGCCGAAGAGGGGACCCGAGAGAGGCCGAATGTAGAGTTTGGATCCCCGACCCATGTGCTTGTGCAGTGGGTTGGCCTGAGTGCAGGGGTCTGCGAGTCGCATTGGTGGCTATGAAGGCCGAGCGTTGGAGCGACTGCAGACAGAAACCCTGAGGGTTGGCGATTACCCCCAACAGAATAGAATCGCCAATCCCAGAGCTAGTGCATCCTGGGGGTGGATGCTGTGTGTGGCTTGTAGCTGAGACTATAGCCAGAGAAGGCCAGGACGCCTGACGGCTCCTAGTATGTTACTGTAGATGCCGTGAGTGATTCCCCTCCCTCGTATGAGCAGTGCCTTCGGCAGCAGATTTGGTGGCTCATCTGCTGGTACCAATAATTGTCTTTTGCACCAGGTTGGGGCCCTGCCTGGACTTATTTGTATTCTGTTGTATTTTGTTATATTGTGATATATTTTTGTTCTGTTGTATTTTGTTATGCTTTTGTGGGCCATGGCTGCATTGTTTATGTTTGTTAAGAGACAAAATTGTATATATATATACAAGGTGTAAGGGCAGGAATGGACCACAGTGCAGGTTTCCTGATCCCATGCAGACCAGGTAAAGGAGGAGTCAAAGTCCTTAGTGGTTATTTTGCAGGTCTTTTATTGGGGTTCACCAGGCATATGGCAGGCAGGGGTGCTGGGGGGCCGGGAGGCTGGCAGTCCTCCCAGCCCCCAGCAAATCCTCACTCTATCTGGGCTCTCTGGCGTTCTCTGCTTCTCTCTCAGCTTCGGCTTCTACTGCTGCTGGCGTCTCCGAGACGCCGCCCTTAAAAGCACAGTCTTAGCTCAGCTGAATCCCATCTACCTATGCCCACACCCTACTCCAGGTGCCCGCCATCAGGCATGCATTCAGGACAAGGATCCATCATCTATCCTGATGGCGGAAGGGCAGAAAAGCCTCACATTTTCTTTACCCTACACCCGGTCTGCATGGGATCAGAAAACCTGCACTGTGGCCATTCCTGCCTTTACAGTGTTGTTATCTCTTCGGACTGGTATTCCAAGCAGCGGAATTGCTGGATCATATGGTCAATTTTTTGAGGAACTCTGGTTCTGTTTTCCACAGTGGTTGCGACAACTAACATTCCTACCATCAGTATGTAAGGAGTCCCTTTTTGCCACATCCTCACCACTTGTTTCTTGTCTCTTTAATGGCCATTCTAACAAGTGTGAGGTGATAGCTCATTGTGGTTTTGATTTGTGCTTCCCTGATCGTTAGTGATATCGAGAACCTTTTCATGTTCATTTTGACCATTTGTATGTTTTCTTTGGAAAATGTCCAGGTCCGTTGCCCATTTTTTAATCAGATATTTGGGTTTTTTTGTTATTGAGTTGTTTGAATTTGATACCTTTGTAAATAAACAACAGAATCACTAGAACATCAGTGTTTGAAGCAGAGAAAAGTTTATTGCATGTCAAACAGTTGCAGAAGCTCTTAATTGGAGGTTGAGCAACCAGTAGATTCTGAGAAGCGATTCTGAGCAATGGGGAACACTCCCAGATTGTGTTGTAATGCGAGATCCAAATGCCAAGTGATCCGGAAGCTTTGGGCTTGTCACTTATGTCACAGTGGAGGTGGATGCAGCCGTGAATGGAAGGCCACAGGTGGATGGAAGAGGTGTGGAACCAGAGCTGTGTCAGAAGATTCTCCACAAACAGGGAAACTGGAGGGGAAAATGCACTCAAGTCTGCCTTCCTAGTTAAGAAAGGAAATCAGGGCCTCCCTGGTGGTGCAGCGGTTGGGCGCTGGGTTGCGGAGCTGCCCGCAGCCTCTGCAGCATCGGTTCAATCTCCGGCTGCTCCCCGGCCACCGGAGGAGGGTCCCGCATGGTGCGCAGACCTCTCCTGCCGCCCGCTGCTCCCCTCAGCAGTGTACTTCGGTCCTTCTGCCCGTTCTGCCCCCCCGCTCTGGCTCTGGTGAATTCTCTCACCCTCCCGTGCTTCTGACTGTACCCAATCCTTATATAAATAAATAAATAAATCTTAAAAAAAAAAAAGAAAGAAAGGAAATCAGTTGGTATAAGTTTAGCGACCAGGGTTGAGAACAAAGGGATTGCATTTTATTGGCGGGAAAGCTGGTAAGGGGTAAAGAAATGTGGGCTTGACAGAAGTTCATTAACTCATCACAGGGCACTTCACCCATGAGGGATGAAGAGGTTTGAACTTGCTGCACCCTGCCTCTGGGTAGCCTCCTCTTCTGTGATCGAAGTTTCTTAGCTGACCTTGGAGCTCAGCTCAAGGTTGTTTTTCCTTGCTTGGGATGTCAGATAATCTGCAAGTGTAAGTACAAGCTTCAAAGAGAAAAGTTTATCTTCAGATAGAACCTGTTTTATTTCTCATTTTCCAATTTGATGCTTTTAAATTATTTTTCTTGCTTGATGCACTGAGTGCTGTGTTGAATAGTCCTGTTGAGATTGACCATTCTCGTCTTGTTCAACCTGATCTTAGAGGAAAAGCTGTCAACCCTGACTATTGAGTATGTAACTGTGGACTTGTCAAGTACAGTATGGTCTTCATATGTTGAGGTACATTCTTTCTATACCTAACATATTCAGAATTTTTATGAATGAATGTTGAATTTTTAAGTGACTTTTCAGCATTTATTGATGTGATGTGATTTTATTCTTCTGTTAATATGTCACATTTATTGATTTGTCATATATATTAATGTTGATGTGTCACATATATTAATATTGATGTGTCACATATATTGAATTAATCTGCATCCCAAGGATGCACCTGATTATGGTCACTGATCCTTTTAATGTGCTTTTGAATTCTGTTTGCTACTATGTTATTGAGAGTTTTTGCATCTGTATTCATTAGGGATATTGTAGGGTTTTTTCTTTAAAAATCACTTGTGGGGAAACTGAGGAAAGTATCATGTTACTCTTTGAGAGATGAAATATTACAGCATGCCCACCAAAGTTAAAAAATGAAATGGCTGCTAAGTAATGTAGGTCAAGAGATCAAGGGTTTAGGGCCACTTATTTTTAAAAAGAGCTCAACAAGGATGGCTGAATCTTAATCTCTTATCAGTGTTCCAGTGATCCCTCTCTTTGGATAAACTTGAACATTTCTGCAGACATTCGAGCAGCTGTGAAAGCAATAAATTTCCTGCCTGTGAGAAACTTAGCCTGGCTTTCCTTTTCTTTACTGCACCAATCCTTTTCAATTACCACTTTCTGCTAAGCTCATCTTAATATTCTCCAAGGCTCAAGCGGAAGACGCACATTCAGTCTTTCCGTGTGCTCGTGAATGTTATGGGCAATGTGTGGTGTTCCTGTGTTTGCTGTGGCATTCTGTGAGTATAGTGCACTTTGGAATCAGATGTCTGCTTTCATTCAGTTTTGACCTTTCTGTAAGCAAGACTTCTAGCTGCTTGCTTTTAACTTCTCCAAAGGAAATCTGTCTTGCATTCCAAGTCTACTTGTACTCTGTGGTACAAAGGAGAGCAAAAGAAGAGGGAAACATGTTGTGACTGTCCTCTTGTGACCAGAAGTTCCTTAGCCACTTTTTTCCTTTTAAGTTTGTGGTAATATTAGTCTGCAACATTCTGCAGGCTCCATGATTACATCTACTTACTAAGTCTAACGCCAAGTGTCCAGTCACCACCTACCACCAACCAGTTGATCCTGTCTACCCATTTCCTCCCATCTCCTTCCCATCTGGTAACCATTTGCTGACAGACTCAGGATCTGTTTTTGTTTTCTATATTCCACAAATTAGTGAAATCATATGGTATTTGTCTTTTCTTCTGCTGATTATTAAAAAATCTAAGGTCCATTCATGTTTTCACAACCAAGATTTCATTTTTTTAAAAAAATTAAGTATTCCATTGTGTGTGTGTGTATACACACCACATTTTATTCATTCATCTGTCATTGGGTGCTTGGGTTGTTTCCATATATTGGCTATTGTGAATAGTGCTACAGTGAGCACATGTCTTTTTGAGTTAGTGTTTTCATATTCTTCAGGTGAATACCCAGAAGAGGGATTACTGATTCTTATGGTATTTCTATTTTTAATTTTTTGAGGAACCTCTATGCTGTTTTCCATAGTAATTACACCAATTTATATCCCCAACCAACAGTGACTCAGCAGTCCTTTTTCTCACCAACATTTATTGACTTTTTTTAAGATTTATTTTTTATTATGACTACAAGCATTGGGGCATAGGCCAGAGGTGTGGGGGGTGAGAGGATTCACCAGAGACAGAGTGGGGAGCAGAACAGGTGGATTTGACTGAAATACACTACTGAAGAGAACGGCGGGCAAGTCAGGAGAGGTCTGCCGCGCCATGTGGGTAGCTCCCTGGCCGGGGATCGAACTTGTGCTGCAGTGGCTGAGATAGTGTCATAGATTGCATCTTAACCACTTGCACCGCCAGGGAAGCCCTATTTCTTGACTTCTTGATAATAGTCATTGTAGCTGGTGTTAAGAGAAATCTCATTGTGGTTTTGGTTTGCATTTCCCTGATGTGGAACTTGTTTTGTGTATCTGTTGGCCATCTGTATGTCTTCATTGGTGAGATGCCTACTTAGATCCTCTGCCCATTTTTTAATCTGGTTGTATGTTTATGTTGTTGAGTTGTATAAGTTGTTTATATATTAACCCCTTGTCTGACACATGGTTTGTAGATATCTTCTCCCTTCCGTTCATGGTTTGCAGATATCATCTCCCTTATTTGCCTGTTCATTTTGTGGAGACATCCACGAAAAACATCACTAAGACTGTTAAAGAGCTTTTAATCTATGTTTTCTTCTGTATATTTCATGATTTGAGTCTTAATCCATTTTGAGTTGATTTTAGTGTGTGATAGTGATCTAGTTTCATTCTTACATGTGGCTATTTTTTTTTTTCTGGCACTATTTATTGAAGAGATTTTTTTCTCCCTCTATTTTATGCTTTTAATGCCTTTGTCATAAATTTGTTACCTATGTTTGTATGGTTTTATTTCTGGAATCTTGATTCTGTTCCATTCATCTGTGTGCCTGATTTTGGTCCAGTAAAATAATGTTTTGATTACTGTAGCTCTCTAGTTTGAAATCCGTCAACTTGACACCTCCATTTTTGTCCTTTTTTTACTCAAGTTTATTTTGGCTATTTGTGTTCATATAAATTTCAGGATTTTTTTTTTTTAAGATTTTTTTTTTATTTTATACTAGCACTGGGAGAAGAAGCGCGGGAGGGTGAGAGAACTCACCAGAGCCAGAGCGGGGAGCAGAGCAGGCAGAAGGACCGAAGTACACTGCTGAGGGGAGCAGCGAGTGGCAGGAGAGGTCTGCGCGCCATGTGGGACCCTCCTCCGGTGGCTGGGGAGCAGGCGGGGATTGAACCGGCGCCGCAGAGGCCGCGGGGAGCTTCGCAACCCAGCGCTCAACTGCTGTGCCACCGGGGAGGCCCGAAATTTTAGGATTTTAAAAATATGCTTCTGAGGAAGAAGGCCGAGAGGGTCTTAGTAGGCGTTAAGTTAAATCTCTATATTACTTTAAGTACAGTGGCCATTTTGACATTGATTTCTTCTGATTCAAGAGTGCAGCATGTCTTTCCATTTCTTTGTGTGTTCTCTAATTTCCTTCAACAGTGTTTTATACTTTTCAGTGTACAATTCCTTTCCTTCCTTGCTTAAATTTATTCCTATGAATTTTACACTTTTTGCTGCACTTGTGAATGGTATTGTTTTCCTTATTGCTCTTTCTGGTAGTTCATGTTGTACATAAACACAATAGATTTTTGTATGTTATGGCCTGCAACTTTATTGTTTCTAACAGTTTGTTGCTGTTGGAGTTTTTAGAGATTTCTACGTATAATACCATTTCATCTGTTTATAAGTCAGTATATAGGGCCAAGTTGTACTTCTTTTCCAATCTGGATATCTTTTATTTTTCTTGCCAAATTGCTCTGACCAGGACGTGTGAAATTATGTTAAATAACGGTGAGTTGAACATCTCCGTCTTATTCCTGATTTTAGAGGAAAACCCTCAACTTTTCCCAAATGAGATATGTTACCTATGGCTATGTTGTGTATGCCCTTTGTTATCTTTACGTATGTTCCTTCTGTGCCATTTTATTGAGTTTTTATCATAAATGCAGGCTGAATTTTATCACATGCATTTTCTGCACTTTTGACATGATCATATAATTTTTATTTTTCAATTTGTTGATTTACTGAACCACATTGATGAATTTGTGTATGATAAACATCCCTGCATCCCTGGAATAAATCCAACTTGGTCATGGTGTATTTTTTTAATGTATTGTTGAATTCGGTTTGCTAATATTTTGCTGAGGATTCTTGACTTTGTTCATCAGAGAAATTGGCTTGCAGTTTTCATTTTTTGTGCTGTCTTTGGTTTTGTTATCAGCATTATGCTGGTCAGGTACTGCTTCTTCCTACACTTCTATTAATCTAAGCGGTAGTAGCACAAATGTGTGCAGTTTTGCTTTGTGGGCATTTATTATGATTTTTGTACTTTCCTATATTTTATTCAAATAAACATATTTAATAAAAGTTTCTTAGAAGATTTTTTTAATCTTCCCTTTTTCCATCACTGCTACTGACAGCTGGTTGCCTTAGAACTAGGCTTTACTGTTTCACAACCTGGCCTTTAATACAAGCAAACTCAATGCTGCTTAACAGTATCAAAGGAAATACTGAGTGGTTTCCTCATAGTAACATTGAAAATTTTCTATGTGAATTGGTAATAGGGGTCTTCTGGTGATTTTTGGATAGGGAGTGAGATGGTGAAAAGTACAATTTTGTATGTTTTATTTAGTAATGGCTATCCAAATGGATATCGGATGTAAAGATGTCAGTGAGGAAACAGAAGCTCAGTGTGAAAAGAAGAAATGCCTGAATTAGACTAATAAGTAAAATTATAGATGAGAAATTCAGAGACCCCAAACGTGAGATTCGCTCAGCAGTAGCTAGGGCTTGGTATGGCTGTGACAGGGGCGGCTGGATGGGCCTAGGCTCCAGGGTGATGTTAAAAGGGGGCCAGCAGGGCCCCTCTGCTCTTCCATTATGTAATGTGGGCATGGGGTTGGGGCCAGCAGACAGGCAAGGGCTGTGTCTTATGGAAGAAGCAGGGTGACTGGGAAGGTGGAAGTGGAATAGAAGCAGAAACTAGCTTAGACATAAAAATCCTGCAGAGCACAACAGCTATATATTGATATATGGGCTGTTCCAATGGTATAATGAGAAGTATAAGAGATATGAAGCTAAAGCTAGATATTCAAATCCAGAACTCCTACCATTTACTATTTGTGAGATTTTTAAAGAAACTACGTAATTTTTTCTAAACCTCAGTATTTTTCAGCTGTAAACAGTATGTAATACTAGAGTGTCATAAGGATTATTTTCTGTAAAGGAATAGCTAGGTTAATGCTAGGTATTATTATAATGTGAAAGTTGAATTATACTGTCACTTCATATATTTGCTTTTTATTTTATTCAGACTAACTGCAACATCCAAGAAGCCATGACAAAATTGCAATTTGATAGTGTCTGCATATCTGCTGGAAAAAAGTTTGAAGGCAAAGGCAGAACCAAACTAATCTGGATCAAAGAGCCTCTGCAATTATTGGGTTGTTGGAAAAGTCATGACGCATGTTTGCAACAGATGGCATGTTCGGAAGTACTAGGGTCATTTACATCTACGTTATTGCTAGTCACTTGACAGTTGGCAGTTCTAGCTTCATTCTAAAATAAATTGAGCGATTTGGTTAGTTTTGGAGATTTTACAACAAGTTGATGGAAGACCAAACTCTGCATTTTCACCATGTTTTACTGTTTTACTTCCATAACGGGAAGAACACACATCAAGCTTGTGAAAAGTTGCATAAATTTATGGGTACAGGGCCTCCCCTGGTGGTGCAGGCGGTTGAGTACAGCCTATAAAGCTGTCCGCAGCCTCTATAGCGCTGGTTCCATCCCAGCCGGCAGGCAAGTGTCCCACATGGCGTGGCAGACCTCTCCTGTCACGCCCGCTGCTCCCCTCAACAGTGTATTTTTTGTCAGTCTGCCTGTTCTGTTCCCCGCTGTCTCTGGTGAATCCTCTCACCCTCCTGCACATCTGACCTGTACCCCGGTTCTTGTATAAATAAATAAATAAATCTTTAAAAAAAAAGTTTACTGGTACAGTGCTCTACAACAGCGTCAGTGCTAGCGATGGTTCATGAGATTCCATGCTGGTGATTTTGATCTCAACAACGCTCCTTGGTCAGAGAGGTTGATGACGACAAAATAAAGGCATCGATCGAATTGAGAGATTGCAGAAACATTGAACATCCATCATTCAAGTGTTCACGACCACCTGGAAAAGCTGGGATATAGATGCAGGCTTGATTTTTGGGTTCCTCACGAACTTAAAGAAGTTCATTTGATGGCACATATAAACAGCTGCAGTAGCTCATTAAACGTGAAGAAAACAATCCTTTTTGAAGCAACTGAAAACTGGTGATGAGAAGTGGATTGTGTATAATGAGGTGCACAGTCTTGGTCCCAACTTGATAGTTCACCTCAAATGACATCAAAAGCAGTCATTCGTCAGAGGAAGACTATGCTCTCAGTGTGGTGGGATTTTAAATGTGTCATGTTTTTTTGAGTTCCTGCCAAGGAAATAAACAATCAATTCGAATGTGTAGTGTCGGCAATTGGATGGCTTGAATGAATCCATCATCCAGAAACTTCCAGAGCTTGTTAATGGTAAAGGAGTAGTGTTCCATCTCAATGTGAGACCACACACAAGTTTGATCACCCATCAGAAATTACTGGAGCTTGGATGGGATGTGTTGCGGCATCCACCATACCCTCCTGAACTTGCGCCTTCACACTTCCACTTGTTTCACTCTCTTCAAAACTTGCGTGGTATAATATTCAATTCAGATGAGGCTGTAAATCAGCACCTTGTTCAGTTTTTCACTAGTAAAGATGGATCCTTCTATGAACGAGGAATTTTGAAGCTCACTGAAAGATGGCAAAAGGTTTTTGAACAAAGTGGGCAATATATCATTGATCTTTGTTCTTTTTTTTTCCCTAAAGATTTATGCATGTAAGGGCTGGGGTACAGGCCAGAGGGGTGGCGGGTGGGGGAGGTGAGAGCATTCACCAGAGACAGTGGGGAGCAGAACAGGCAGATCAACTGAAATACACTGCTAGGGGAGTACCAGGCGAGACAGGAGAGGTCTGCTGTGTCATGTGGATTAGCTCCCTGGGCAGCGATCAAACTCATGCTGCAGTGGCTGCTGATAGCTTCATAGTGCTGAGACTTCAATCCTTGTACCACCAGGGAGGCCCCTGATCTTTGTTCTTAATATAAACAAATGACATTTGAAAAGCAGAAAAAATATGTCATGACTTCCGACAACCCAGAGTTTAACAAGGTATGTCCAGGCACAAGGTGAAATATTTGGAGGATTTTAGAGGAAGCCCCCTCTCTTTGGAGTTTTTCCTTATTGTGCTGAGAATGCTTCACTGGATTTAGTCAATGGATGGTGTACTTGGATTTGTGATGTTGCTGCCTGCCTTTGGGCATTTGAACATATACTGCTCTAACATATTACTCAGGTGAAAAATCCAGCAATTTTCTGGGGCAGACATTCTGATACATACTTCCTCAAACATATGTCGGCCTCCCTCTGGCATATGATTCACTGCAATCTCCAACTTCATCTATTTGGTGATGGAAGATACTAGCAAGTCAGATGGCCTCTTGGGAGTTTCGCTTTCAAGTTCTGGATTGGCACTTTCACTTCTGCCAGATTGGACTGCTGCTGTTTGGTGGGAGAGTTTGCTGGTTATCTCTCTCTTTTTTTTTTTTTAATTTTAATTTAATTTTTTAATTTTTTAAAAATTATTTTTAAAAAGATTTATGCATACAAGAGCTGGGGTACAGGCCAGAGGTGCAGGATTCACCAGAGACAGAGTGGGAAACAGAACAGGCAGACTGACGAAATACACTGCTGAGGAGAGCAGCAGGTGAGTCAGGAGAGGTCTGTCGTACCATGTGGGTAGCTGCCTGGCCGGCCGGGGATCAAATTCATACTGTAGAGGCTTCGGATTGCTTCATAATGCTTTGCTTAACCCCTTGAGCCATCAGGGAGGCTCTGTTCTCCTTTAAGAAAATATTTGTAGCTGGGCACATGACTGGCTGAAATAGATTATCTTTTTTAGCATTCCTGCAACCTGATAGGACTATGTTATTGGGTCAATGAGATGTGAGCAGAAATTATGTGTGTAGCTTATAATCATACCCCCATCCTCTGTCCCCCGTTTGGAACACATGTGTTTTGTTAAGTCATCTTGGACCATGGGGCTATCAGCAGTTCCTTAGGGCAGTAATTCCCAAACTTTGCTGCACATTAGAATGACCTAGGGAACTTTAAAAAATCCTGGTGCCTAGGTTACATGGTAGGCCCACTAAGAATTATGAGAGTAGCAGGTATAGATATCAGTGTTTGAAAAAATCTCCAAGTGATTCTAATGTGTAGCAAAGTTTAGGAAGCACTGCCGGAGCGATTCCAGCATAGGACACTGGAGGGCCCACGTTGCTGGAAGCACTTCAGTCCCGGATCACCTACAAGAGGCCATCACGTGTCAGAGCAGTAGGTGTCCTGCTTGTTTAAGTCTGTTATTTGGAGTTACAGTCACTGGCCCTATCTACTGACTAACAAAGGTGAGTCACTCATTAAAACTGACTGTATTTCGTAGAATAATCTTGTTTTCATGTTGTGTTTTGCTTATTTATGCCATTCACTTATCAGGAAAAATTTTTTGAGACTCCCCCAGGAGTGTCACTTAGCATCATGTAACTGAGGCCCTTCGTGTTGCATGCATGCATATTCACTCCTGTCATTGCTGGGGGGTGTCCACTGCTGGCTCCACCGCAGTGCTCATTGCTGGGGGAATGTTTGGGTGGTTTCCAGTTTGGGGCTGTGATGAATAAAGTCATTGTTTACAACTTTTGGGATAAATACAAGTTTTTAGTTCTCTGGAGAAATACCTAGCCGTGGGCTTGCCAGGCTACATGGTAAGTGTATGTTTACTTTGTAAGAAACTGCTCCACTGCTCTGAAGTGTCTGTGACCTTTGGATTCCTTTCAGCAGAGTGTGGCAGTTCTAGTGGCTTAGCATCTGGGCCAGCACTTGGTATTGTCCGTTTCCTTTTTGTTTTTTGTTGTTCTGTGTTGTGTGCTAAGTTACAATTCATATAGTTTCTTTGATGAAGTGTCAGTTCATTTCTTCATTTGCAGGTCATGCTTTTGGTATAGTCTCTAAGAAATCTTTATCTAATTTTAGTAGGATCTAGTTTTGAAAGTATTATTTCATGCACAAATGTTGCATCAACAATATCACAATGATGAAACAGGAGTGGTGGAACAGGCTATAGGATGCAGGATGCTGCTCAAGAGCAAGGTCCTGGTCTTTTCATTGACAGAGAAGGGTGGGTCAAACTGAACACTGGATTTTGGGCTTTAGGGAGGGGGAGTCCAATGATACACACCTGACTCCCACCCATGGCTCCAATCTTATTAACAAGGCTCTCCTGGTCATACCTCAGATGTGTATCTTTTGTCCTAGTGCAAACAAGTGTTCTGCCCTTGTCTAACTTGAAAGGAGCCCTGTATACCCACACACACAAGAAAATTTTACATAGATAAACATCCACCCCCCCCATCACCCTCTTACTCTCCTGTGAGCCAGGTCATTTGCTTGTATGTAGTCATTAGTGTCTACTGTCATAAATACAGAATTTAAGACAGAGTGGGAGAAAAGATTTGAAAATCAAATCATGTATCTGATAAAGGACTTGTATCTAGAATTTATAAATGAACGCTTACAACTCAACAATAAGAAATAAGCCGATTTAAAAATGAACAAAAGACTTCACCCACGAAGAGATATAGGTGCCAAATAACTATATGAATGATTCTCATTCAATGATTTCCCATTATTAGGAAAAGACATAAAAAAGTGCTCTGATATACCATTATGCACTTAACAGAAGGCAAAAATAAAAAAAGAGGGTAATACCAAGTGCTGACTCAGCAACAGGACCCCTCATTCACTGCTGGTACGATATGAGATGGCACAGTCAGACATAAATGCAGAATGGTGTCACTAATATGTGGAATATAAAGTAGCTAATAGATAAATATAAGCTGAAAAACTAACCCTTGAGAGCTGACTACAGAACTGACACAACAGGCGGGGAGAGGCTGGGGCAGGAAGAGAAAGAGGGAAAGAAGCACAATGGTCTGTGGTGGTAGAATGTGGGTGAGTTGGTGGATGCAGCATGGTGGTAACACCTGATGGGGGTACCTTATATTCCTGCTGAAAAAATAAATTTCAAAAAATGGCAGTGTCACTAGGGGAGATATTGGACAGTTTAATGTTTGTTTTTTTTTTAATAGAGGCATTTATTTATTTGTTTGTTTGTTTGCTTGTTTATACATGCACTGGGTACAGTCAGAAGCGCGGGAGGGTGAGAGAATTCACCAGAGCCAGAGCGGGGAGCTGAGCAGGCAGAAGGACCGAAGTACACTGCTGAGGGGAGCAGTGGGCGGCAGGAGAGGTCTGCGCGCCATGTGGGACCCTCCTCCAGTGGCCGGGGAGCAGCCGGGGATCGAACCGGCGCCGCAGAGGCCGCGGGCACCTTCGCAACCCAGCGCTCAACCGCTGCGCCACCGGGGAGGCCCTTAATGTTTTTTTAAGATTTATGCATACAAGAACTGCAAGTATGTTGGGGGGGGTGTGTGGTGTGGGTGTGGGTGTGAAGGATTCACCAGACACAGAGTGGGGAGCAGAACAGGTGGATCTACTGAAATACACTGATGAGGGGAGCAGTGGGCAACACAGGAGTGGGGTGTGTGTGTGTGTGCGCGTGCGCGTGCACGTGCGTGTGTGTGTGTGTGTGTGTGTGTGTGTGTGTGTGTAGGGATTCACCAGAGACAGAGTGGGGAGCAGAACAGGCAGATCTACTGAAATACACTGATGAGGGGAGCAGGGGCAACACAGGAGTGGTCTGCCAGGCTATCTGTGAGTTAGTTCCCTGGCCAGGGATCTAACTTGGGCCACAGTGACTGGCGACAGTACTAAGACTTTAACCCCTGCGCCACCAGGGTGGCCTTTGACAGTTTCTTTAAAAACCAAACACAGACTGAGCATACAACCTGGTGATCACTGTCCTATTTACCCAACTAATTTGAAAACTTAGATTTGTAAAAAAACAAAAAAGCCTGCATGGAAGTAAATGCTTATAGCAGAACACACGTTAAGTGTGAGCTGCCCATAGTGCCTTCCTTCCAAAGGCAACAGCAACTAAATAAATGAAAAGTAGAAGTGGGTATTTGTACAGTTGATGTGTGAAGGGAGAACAGCACTTAACCGCTGTGGTCTTTTTTCCCCCCAAACCCATCATCCATCACAGAAGACCTCAAACCGAGGCCATTATTCCTGAGCAGCTCAGTGCCATCAAAGCAGGAAAGTCTGAGAAACCGTCAGCCAGAGGCGCCTTAGGCACACATGGTCGGGGCTTCCTGTGGTGTCCTGGGTGGGATGTCGGAACATAACGAGGATATTAGAAAGAATTAATGAAACCCAAATAAAGTGCGGAGTTTAGCATAAGTGCATCAGTATTGCTTCCTTAACTGTACAAATGACTGTAGTCATCTGAGATGTTAGCAGCTTGGAAATGATGTGGGCTATATAGAAACTACTTTTACCATTGCAACTCTTCTGTAAATCTAACAGTATTTATAAACATGCTATTCTAAAAAATAGCCCTCAAAAAAGTTACAGGTTAGAAGGAAAAAATGAGGCTTCAATTTTCCCAAATACTGCTATCAAGGGACTGGAGAGAGGGGTCCTGGGGAGAAAAGCTGGAAACCTCACACCCAGGGCAGGCTCCGGAGTCTCCTCTCCTCTGAGCCTTGCTTCCTCACAGAGCATCTCACCCCCAGGACACCGCCCTCCAGGACCCCCAACTCTGCCCACCTCAGCCCCGGCCCCGTCCTGGAGGCTCCACCAGAATCCGGAACAGCGCGGCAGCGCCCCCGTGTGGCCACAGGGCTGAGCACAGGAGCCCAGAGCCGCCCTTTCTCCTGCTCAGCCAGGCCCTCCCCAGGCTCCCTGGGCCCCCACCGGCAGGACAGGTCCACTGTCATGTTAGGGGTCCTTAAACTTCCAAGTGAGTGAGTATGTGTACAGGCCTCAGGGAAGAGCCAGGTGTCCAGGTCGTAACAGCTGCCTCCCAGGTTCTGGGTGGGTCCCCACAAGTATACAGTTTCCCTCAATCTCTTTGGATGGAACATTGGACTCCAGAGTTGCTGTTACTTGTTCCTGCCTCCAGGGATGAAGTGCTTCCTCCTGGGAGTCAACTCTAAATTCACCATCCCTAGGGTGAGGGGAGGGGCTGAATAATAGAATCTTAGGTTCTATTCTCGACTTTGAGTCTTTATGAGCATCTGGGTGCTCCTGATCATCACTCCTGAGCTCACTGAAGTGGGGGCTCCCTGGTCTCCATGCCTTCACATGTTAACAGTCAGCTCTGCGAGCCTCTGCTTATATGGCCCAACATGGGAGGGGGGGGCAGAGCTTGGTTCTGCTCCTTTCTCTTTAGTCATCACTCTCTAGGGGACCATTCCATACTGAAGACTTAAAATATTATTTACATCACATCACCTCCCAGATCTATTTCCAGCTCAGACATTTCACCTGTGCTCTAGACTTGTTTGTCCAATTGCCACCATCATTGTATTTCCATAAATCTCATCTTCAACTTTCCTAAATTGAATAGGATGCCATTTCCTCAGATATGGCTCTTCTGGAGGCTTCCCCATGTCACTGCAGGCTCCAGCTCTGCCTGCATATTATGAAATACTGGGTGTCATCTTTGACCCCTTTCTTACAACCCAGCCGTAGGAAACACTGTAAAGTCCATTTCTAAATATACAGAGATCCAATCACTTCCTATTGTTTTCCTGCTCACCTCCCCCTGCCCCAACAAAGGCACCAACCTGTCTGTCCTGGAGCCTGCACTGGTTTCTCACATTTATCTTTCCACCTCTCACCCTTGGATTCTGCAGAGCAGCCAGACAGTCTTCTAAAGAGAAGTCCCACATCTCTGTTCAGAAAGGTCTTGTCAACCCACATTTTACTCAGAAAGTTAAGCCCTCTCAACATCCTGAAGGCCTGAATGATCTGGGTGCACACAGAACTCATCTCAGTAGCCCTCTGCTCCAGCCAGCCAGGCAGCCTCCTTGCTCATCTCAGCCACACAGGCTCATTCCTGCCTCATACATCTGCACTGAAGGTTGTCCTGCCTGGACAGAACTTCCCTGGACATCCTTGTGGGCAACATGTCCATCAAACTTTTTCTCAAAGGTCACCTTAGTGAGGCCCACACTGACCATGCTGGGAAGACAGCCATCCTGTCCCCACACACTGACTCTGGGTCATCTTCCTTCACCCCTTTCCCACTTGTAGCCAGACATGTCCCTTATTTACTGTCACAGTCTCCAGTGTCCCCTTCCCACTAGGACACATTCTCACCAGGCCAGCAAGTTGGGCCTATTTTTAGTTCATTGAGTTTTCCTAGATGCAAAAATAGCCTGTCACTCATATGCCACACACAACAATTATCAGTTCATGAATGATCAGTGTAGAGCACCTCCATGTTCTAGAGACAGTGTCTTTAAAAACGTGGCCTTAGGTTACATGCTACACACACCTCCACTCACAGTGACAGCAGTGCCCCCCACCTCCCGCTGCTGTCCCAAGTGCTGCACCCTCCCCAATCAACCCTCCTGCACACCCCAGCACAAGAGCACATTTATCACTTCAGAAAAGGGGGTCCTAAGTTTATGGGTACCATTTTTCAGCCACTGTGAATGTTCCTATGATGCTATTTTATCAAACCCTGGGTTTGGATCAAAGCAGCAGTGGGGTTGCTACACTTCAGGGCAGGGCTAGAGGGAGAACCTACAGAAAAAACTAGAAATGCAACATGAGCTTGTCTAAGATGAGAAACTATCTAATCTTATCCTCCACTAATATCAGAATTTGGTCTTTTAAAAAGATGTAGAAAAGAGGGCCTCCCTGGTGGAGCAGGAGTTAAAGATAGCACTATCAAGCTATCAACAGCCACTGTAAGCACGAGTTCTATCTGGCCAGAACAGTGTTCTAGAATCTGGCCAGGGAGCTGACCCACATGGCACAGCAGACCTCTCCTGCCTTGCCTGCTGCACCCCTCAGCCGTGTGTTTCAGTAGATCTACCTGTTCTGCTCCCTTTGTCTCTGGTGAATCCTCTCACTCCCCTGCACCTCTGGCTTACACCCCAGTTCTTGTATGCATAAATAAATCTTTAAAGGGAAAGATCTGGAAAAAACAGAAATAATCCAGAAAACGGTCCTGAAATGAGGCCAAAATCTAATGAGTCTGAAAATTAGTCTCTAACACCAAACACTCCTGTGAGCAGGGGCTGCCCTGAGCTTTGTGGGAACAATGACAGATGCCTTAGGCACTGTCAGAGACAGGGACACCCCGAGGACATGGCGCCTGGTGTCTAAACATGAAAATGAACAGGCATGAAGCAATAAAAACCAAAGAAGCAAAGTGTAAACATGCAAATTGTGAAGACTGAGGGCCCAGCCCTGATGTGAGCTTAGGCTGACCTGGCGATGCATGTTCCTGGAGACAGGACAGGCCCAGGTCTTGTCTGAGTCCCTGTGATCAAAGGTCCTGCTAGGACAGGTGCTACTGAAGGACAAGGACAAAGGAGCACAGAGATGACCAGTTTTGAACAGTGACCACAGAAAGCCCACAATGCACTGAGCACTGACTAGACACATCCCCCTCGGCTCCTCACAGTCTCTCCTGCCCCTACCTGCACAGACTCAGCACAGTAAACATGGATTCTAGAACCGATTTACTAAGAACCTTTTTTGGTTACCCATCAAACCAGCATGACAAGATTAGAAAAAATAATTTCAAACCTGGATTATTATTTCATCAGGGAAGTAGATGTTATTCTTCAGGAAAAACACAAAGATGAGTAGAGAAAGCCTCGGCCGCCTCTGCTGGAGCAGGAAAGTCATCAGGGAGAGACACAGGTGAGTGTCGGGAGGGCCTGGTGGGCAGGGCCAGGCCAATCTCCTTACCTCCCCACATTATGCTTATGTGACCCCAGATACATGAGGATGCCCTCTGCAACAAGAGAGACCGGAGGGATCTTGAAGTCACAAAGTGGGGGTGAGAAGGCTCACACTGTGAAGGAAAATAATCAGGAACAAAGTCAGGGAATCATGTAAGTGTCGACATTCTCTATAGTCCACCGCATCCTCAGCATGTCCCCCTGACAACTTCCCATAACCTGGTCCCATCTTCTCAGCCCCAGTCCCTCCCACTGCAGGCCTCAGGGTCTCACCTTTAGCAGCTGTGACATCAGAGTTCTGGGCACTGTTGCTGCCTGGGGGAGAACAAAACAGAACCTGGTTAGAGCCACAGAGATGAGACCACAGGAGGACTGATGTGGGTGACTCCCCAGGGGCTCCATCTACACTGTCCCCAGGGGCTCAGGGACCAAACC